GAGGGGATGGGCATCGTAGTCGACGAGGACGCCGACGGAGCGAGCGCAGAAATAATGAAGATGCTGATTTGTCTAACTCGGCAAGAATGATCTCGAGCAATTCCAATCCTCAAGGGCATCAATCGCCTACTGCACCGGCGTTGAATGAAGAAAGGGAAAAGAAAACAGGGACCTACTGTCCTCTCTCTGCTGGAGCAGTGGGTGATTGATGCGCTTGAGGATCTCCATTGCTCGAGATTGTTCTTGTCGAGTTATACAAATTGGCATCTTCTTTATTTCTTCATATACATCCTCTTCTTCTTAGATCCTTATTCTGTCGACCCCTTCTGGACGAAGAGTCGTGCCCTAATTGCTAAGGTGTATTCCACAAATATTCCAGGGATCATTGGTTGAGGAAAGCTTAAAGGTATTTTACTCCTTTGTTTTGTTGATTAAATGTTATATTTATCACAAAATAGCATAAGTAATTATGTTGTAATATTAAAACAATTCAAGCTTAGCAATAGTTTGAGAGAATCAAATATATATAAAAAATACCATTTTGTATTTATTATTTGCCTTGTGAAATTTTTATATTAGAATAAAAATAATGGAATAAAAAAATAATACATTGAGATTGTCTATAAATAATAAGTCCTATCCAATAATTTATTAATTTAATTTAAAATTAAATTTAAAATTTTTATGTTTGTGTACAAGTTTATACTTTATTATTTATTTTTTAAAAATGTATTTTCAATCACCTATGAATGGGGAGATAATGGACCAGGGAAAAACTTAGAGGAGCAAGATATTAATAATATTATAAATGGATTTCATAGACTTATAAGAGATATTGATTATTATAGATATTATTCTACAACATATCAAGATTTAACTCTAATAGAAACTTCACGAGGAATTATTTGTGCTAGGATAAAACGATTTGAGCATCAATCGAATACTTGTGGAACAGGTAAGGTAACTAATACAGTGATTAAAGGAATAAACTTGATGCAACGCTTAAACCCATTAGTTCAAAATAATCATGAAGCAATGGTTTTAAATCGTGCAAGCTCAGCTAAAATCACATCAATAAATTATCAAATACAATATTCTATGGCAGTATGGTGGTCACAACAACCACCGCTATTTATATATAATATAAGAAGTCAAAATTCAAAAGACTGTGATATTGCAAGTAATACACTTGAAAGTGGTAGTCAACTTTTATACAAGGGAGATTTCTTAATATCTCCAAATGGAAATAATATTTTATTATTAGAATCTGAATGTAATTTAGTATTATATTCAGAAAGAAATAAAATTTGGGATACTCCAATAAATATGAATTATAATAATTGTTATTTAAAAGTTCAAAATGATGGTAATCTTGTAATATATTCATATAAAAAAGAGGTTATATGGGCAAATAATTTTTATTGCCGTTATCAACCAAATTGCCTATTATTTACATATTATACTTTGCAAAATGATTGTAATTTTATTGCTTATAAAGTTGAATCACCAAATAATATTTGGTGGTCTTCAAAAACAGCAAATCACAAATTATGTAAGTAAAATTAAAGATATATATGTATGTATATATACATAGATATAACTTAGACTGAATTTAAAGAATTTAGCTTATATAAAATATTCTAAGAATATCCGTTTCAAAGATATTTTTATAATATATTAATTGTTATTAATAGATTGGGATGTTATTTCTCTTGAGTGGTACATTCATGAGCTTTGTAAAGGCTACACAAAGGAAACAGATTAGTAAACAAATCATGTGAATTAGATGGTGAAAAATATGATCTAATGACCATTTTGCAAATCTATTATATTATGGATTTCTTAGAAATCATACTGCTAGAAATCTACTCTCGCAATATCTCACCGTATATGCATTCTTTGCTTTTTTGGATTTTGACACGTAAGAACCAGTATTCAAGTATTCAAAAATTTAGTACGAATATACTATGATAAAATCTGATTGAGTTATAAACGTTCGTGAAATGGCGCAAGCGTGAACCTCATGCCAATGCACGATCCAAGCAGTGAGTCTCAATCCTCGAAGAAATTCAACTCCGTTCGGTTTCTTGTGATTGATGATAGCTTGCGCGGATGATCCCTCAAATTCTTCCACAAGTTACAATGTGAACCGTCGGCGGCCCTATTCACCATCTCCAATGCCGAGTTTACAATGCTGCTGGTCGTGGGCGCTACCAGTCGGGTAGCTCATCCAGAAGCTCCAGTTGCAAGGATACAAAGTTAAGGTAATGTCTCTTCTCCTCTCAGCATTTGCCTGTAATGGGCAAATGTTTGAGGCATTCTATTTTAACTTAAACTTCTGTGAAAAGGCTTTAGTACGGAATGATGATTCCGAGACTTTAGACCACTCAACCCTTAACACTCAACTGCATAAGACGCTATCATGTCTTGGAACCACGTAGTTGAAGTTCCAAGTTCATATAAAAAGAATGTCACTAGCCCAGTCGGTGCAAATCGTTGTGGGCGATTTGAGATGTTGAAAGCAGCGGTCGAAGGTCACAACAAGATTATCTGCTGGATCATATTTCCTGCTGATCCATACAAAGTTTACAACAAGGGCAAAATCTATCAACAGCATTCCAGGTTCGTGTAAAGTTGCTTTACCAGAAGTAACTCTTGTGTTCTTTTTTCTTTTTGTTTTTGTGCGTGCTGGGTGGAGCAGCAAGAGCAAGCTGGTTGTAGTGAAATTCAGCTGGGCAAAAGAGGTGGATTCCTGAGAGATGAGGGGTACTTTTTCTTGTGAGTGTGACCTTTTCGTCTGGCTTAAACCAAAACTAATCTATTGTTTATTCAAACCTTTATATGGAGTTTAGAAACTTTTTTCAAATGTAAAAGTCATGCATTTTTATTTTCTCGACTTCATTTTTACATTATGGCTTCACTAGAATCTTTTTTTTTTTTCTCTCTCTTTAGGAGTGGGACGAATGTTTGTTCTTCATTTATCGTCCATTTTTGCTGATCGATCGGCATACAAGAGTTTGGTGGTTTGGTTTCTAAGATTGACTACAATGTTGTTGACACTGGTAATCGCAGGCGAGAGTTCTGGATCTAGTGCGGGACCGTCAGTTTCCGCGAGTGGCTCTGGTGTTGAAGCGGCAGCTTCAGTAGGATCTAGTAGTTCGTCAGCCAGCGAGCCGACGCTGGTAGCGTCATCATCAACTTCGCCAGCTTTAACGGGATCATCACCATCAACACCGGCTTCTGGAGAATCCACACTAGAATCATCGATGCCTGGATCGTCTACTCCAACGCCATCCGCTTCGACTAGATCAAGCACGCCAGGCCAAACTTCGAGCTCGTCCCCTCAGACTGGATCAAGCTCAGCTCTACCTGGCACTGGAACTGGATATGGCACGAGCTACTTGGGTGGAGACGTCGGCTCACCTGCGAGTTCTTATGTCTTTGGCGCTCCCCAAGCTCTCAAACGCCACCAAATCCTTCTCCATCGCCATCGCCAGCAAATGCAAATCCTTAGCAAATCCTCTCTCCTCCCCGTCGCAATCTTTAGCAACCAGGAGCTCTTTCGCTGGTTCATCCAGAGGAAGGAGCTGCTGCTGGAAACAGGATCAACAACTGGACATCGGTGGGCGAGATGAGGCGGCACTACTTCCCAAACTGCCATAACGAGCCGCTGCCGCGCAGGACTTACAAGACCCCCGACGGGTGGATTCGTCATCCCCGACGGCTCCAGGAAGTGGAACTCGATCGACGAGATGCGGCGGCACTACGAGGATTTCTCCATGCCGGCAAAGAGAACGTACAAGTCAAAGGCTGGCTGCTTTGTTCTTCCCGACGGCTCTCGCAAGTGGAACTGAATCGACGAGATGAGGAGGCACTACTTCCCAGACGAGGACTTCTCCAAGCCTCCCAAGCCCTTTGGTTGAGTGACAAGTAAGCTTGCGGCTTTGATGATAGCGTGTCTTTGCGTCTGGCTTAAACCAAAACTAATCTGGGAGGCACTTTGCTCAATGCTCGAGAAGTGCATGGTCATGGAAGATTTCACGAAGGGAGTGATCCTCATCACTATCACTGCACAGACTCGAGTGACATACTGCCAGAAGCTTGGATTCTTGCTTCATTGTCAAAGGGCGGAATAACCTCTTATGGATCGATTGTGGAAGTTCCAAGTATCACAATGTTGATGTTTCACTTCTTCATTGAGAGATATCGACGAACATTTTCTTAACTTGTGATTGAATGTAAGAAAATATTGTTATTTTCTATATTGATCATTCTAAAATATATTAAATATAAAACAAATTAAAATTTGAATTTTTTAGGGTTTCCTCCAAAATTCACGGCAATTCGATTATTCCGCTAAGGGTAATTTGGCATATTCTGTTAATTATGATTTAAAGTGGAAGAAAGAAACAAATGTAGGGTTTTTGGGATGGAGCCAGCGAGCGAGAAAATGGAGGGAGGTACCGCCGCGGATCCCATTCCTCCCGTCTCGTCCAAGAAGACGCCTCTCGGTAAGACGCTCGCGCTGGATTTCGATCATCGCTCACTGATGATGGAGCGATTGAATGGTTGAATCCAGGCACTGGGCCGTGGTATCGCTATCGGCATGTCGTCTACACGCTGCTGGCTTTGAATGCCGCGATGGTGTGTAAGTATCGATTTTCGATCCAGATAACGCTAGATCCTACACTCTTTTTCTTCTCTGCGATTCGCAGCGTATGCGGTGTTTAACCAAGACAAATTCTTTGCGAAGAAGGAGAAGCCTCCCGAGGGAGAAGGACAAGCCAGTGCCAAAGACGAGGCTTCTTCCGGGGAGAAGGAAAAGAAAGACCCAGTGTTCGTCCCCGCTACTCAATCCAAGGTATGGATGAAGTAATTCTTTGCTTGAGCTCAAAGTTTTCTTCTTTTTTCTTGCTTTAGATCGATCAACCAAAGGTAGTGCCTGCTCCGGAAGCTAAAGTGGAAGAGAAAAAGATGGAGGCTCCAGTGAAGAAGCCGGAAGCACCGCACGTATCTCACGACGAGCAAATCGAGCTTTACAAGTGGATGCTGGAAGAGAAGAGGAAGATCAAGCCATCCAGCTCCGCGGAGAAGGCTCGGATCGATTTGGAGAAGGGACTTCTCAAGGATTACATCAGGGGCAAGGTACCATCGCTCTAAGCTTCTCACAACTAAAAAGGAATTTTGATACTCTTCGAGTGAGCTGTGATTCAATTTTTTTGTAGTAAGCTTCACAAGTTTGTGAGACGTAATGAAAGATACTTCGTCTCTTTCTTAAGAAGTTCCAGTGTTCATGTGGTTTAAGCCGAGCTCCTCGTTTTGCTCCCAGGAGCGCTCGTATTCTCGAACTAAACGCATGAAAACGATCGTTTAGAAATCACCAATGACGAAAGAAAAGTTCACTCACCAGATATTTGATTGTCATCGCTTGAAGAATCCGTACATGGAGCGATGAATGAATTGCCAAGGGAATCATCCAAAACAAGCGTCCATGACTTTTTCAATTCCAGTAACTAGAGTCGTTAAAACACAGCACATAGTCAGCCAAAAAACCAACAAAAGTATACATGACTTACATCTTGCAATTTGGCATCAAATTCCATCCACTTTTGTCTTGTGACAATCTCCGCACTGTCTCCGATTTCAAATCCATGGACACTCTTGAGCTCTTGAAGATAATTCAATACGTCAGAAACACTGCTTGATCGGAGAGTGCTTACTTGCTTTCAGAGATTGTCTTGACTAGTCCTTCGACTGTCGTGACGAGACCGCCAAGTGTTCCGGGCATTAGTTCAAGTTCCACCTCCGGAATCTCTACTCCCGCTGTGTCTGACTAATCGGAAAAGATTAAAAAAAAAGAAGGTATATCACTACCATAAACATTGCAAGAACTTCTTACTTTGATCAAGTCTCTTGTCAAGTCTATTTGGTTTTCCACGGCGAGAGATATTTTCTTTCCTTTAGCTGATATGCTTCCACCAGGTTTCACCTAAGTGTAAGATGATTTTCACAACAAAGAACCAAAAACAGAAGCTTACTTCGGAGTTTCTAAACCCGCAAGTATCGCAAGATGCTGCCATCACTATTACCTCCTTGAAATATGGTATATCTGGAACAAAGGATGAGTACTACAACGAAGGAAAGAGAAACAAAAAGAATACTTGTCATGTACATGCGTGTTTCACATCGTCCCGCACAAGCTCCACAAGTGGCTGGAAAAGTCATCACCTGTCAAAGAACCTCTGGTAAAATTCTCAGAAAAGAAAAAACAAAGTACACACCTCCTCAGGAGCCGTGTACTTGAAAAGTGCAGCAGAAATCTGCTCGCTATTCCCCTGTGCTATAGCTTGTTGAGCAAGCTTAGCACCAACGGCCCCATGTAACTCCTCGACAACATCTTCTTCTTGCTTTCCGTCTTCGTTTTCGTGATCTACGGACAAAAACCCGAGCGACTTTTGCTGCTCATGCGTCCTGTCGTAGTGCTCGCGCAACAAAATTGGATCCTCTTTAGGTGCATTCCTGTAGTAATGAAAACGAGGAAAAGCAAACTCAGGAAGTAAGCCAAGAAAGAAAAGACAACATACGGGTTTTCAATGAAGCTATTCCCAGATGGATCTTCCAGTGAAAATGTGAAAGCCTGTTCACCTCTAGCATACGCCCTTAACTTGAGGATAAACGCGTCTATAGAAGCCGCAGTATGAGGGTCCACTTTCTACAAGACGGAATGATACTTAACGTTTAGCGAAATAAGAGAAACAATCTTTACCCGACGCTCTTCTTGCAATCGTTCCAAATCATCTCCAGCTTTGAGGAGAACTCCTTCCACCTGTAAGTAGTAATTTTGCGTTTCGATCTTTGTCTTGAAAGTAACGTAAGGCATACTGTAGAAAGAACTCCTCGCTGGGCTTCCGGTGGCACTTCAAAATCCAACTCTGGGACCTGAGGAAAACAATAAAATAAATAAAAGAACAATCAAATAAGACATGGAATCATACCTTGATTGTAGCCGAATCTGACTTCACTACTTGGCGATTCAAGGCCTAGAAAAAAATGTTTGAGTGGGATAACGAATCGGCTTTGTCTCACCTTTAAGTCATGCTGTGGAACACTTAATGTGAAACGGCAGCCTTGCGGTTGGAGTTGCCCAGCGAATTGTACTTCATTGTTCCTAGCAAAGAAAAAAATAAAACAAAACTTTGGAGCTACTGAAATCCGAAAGAGAGAACAAAGTTTCTAACCTCTCGTTGCAATGTGGACACTCAAACGCCATGAGAACGATCTAGATAAACCAAAATCATTCACGGATTGCATAGTTACTATTCATACCTCTCGAAAATGGGGAATCGTCGTGAGAAGCAGCCGCGTCGTCCCCTGGAACATCAAAATCCCGCAAAATCAGTACCAGCGCAAGTCGAAATCTCCAAAATTCGCTACATTCTCTCCGCAGGACATGCACAGGCTCTCCAGCTCGTGCGCGTCCTCCGCCATAGCTCATAAACCCTAAAACTCTAACTCGCGATAAACCCTAAACACCAAGGCCCAACTGAGCTAACCACAGCCATCCACGTGGCGTAACCTGGAGGTCGCATAAACTCACATTTATACTAGCGCTTGGCGTGGCTAGGAGAAAATGGGGATGCCTTGCGCCTGCCTCACGCCTTCTCCAGATTTTACAAGCTCGATCAGCTGGAAGCATCGTGGGCAGCTTTAAATCTCTCCTGCGAGGTATGTGGAAGGCTTGAATGGATGGATTGATCGATGAAACTTCTAGAACTTTCATCGCGGATGGATCGTTCTTGAAGAGCAAAAGGGGGAACGAAGCTTTTTCTCTTGGTCACTGAATCACGCTCCAATCCATTCCACTCCAGTCTCGATCGAATGGCTCCGTGGGTTCTTCTCATCAATGCCACCAAGATCGTTGGCGCCGCTGGAGTCCTCACCGTGGCTGCAAACACGATTGGCTATCTCCAGTTTCGCAGAAAAAAGCTAGCTCCGTTTGAGTGCCCAATCGATGAGAGCCAGGAGCTTCTCGCAAGCTTTCCAATCGACAAGCCTGGTAATTTTTCTCTTCGATTGTTTTTAGAAAGAAAAATCGGTACTTGACAAGAAAAAGAGTGTTTTTTTTTGTTCCAGCTGAAGATGGAGGATTTTTCTTCGCTCTAGCAACAGCCCCAGCTCACGTCGAGGACAACCTCAACGATGCATGGCTTGAATTTGCAAGGGAGACTGTTCCCGACAAGCAAGAACAGGAGTTTATCCAAGAACGAGAGATGGACAGAGACGATGCGAGAAAAGATGAGAACACTTTCCGGCAAGCATCAGACGAGCTGTTGGCGTCAAAGTCCAAATCTGCGACGGCTGGAGAACTCACGGAGTGGGAAGTTGTCGATGAGAAGGAAAAAGCGGAAAGATCGAAATCTCCCAAGAGTGACCAGATTTCTGAGGAACAGGTGCTGGATTCGAGCTTGATAAGGAAAGAAAGTGCTACTCCTCCGGCTCTTCTTCGAGCCAAGAGCACCACTGAAGAGCCGCGTTTGCAATTCAATTATCCAAAGAAAGGGAGGAAGCTTGCCAGGGTGGCTATGGAGGCCATGATTCGAGGCATTGAAAGGTTCGCTGAGGACGAAGAGCCGGAGGATGCCAAGCTTAATGTAGCTGCCTGGCACAACGTTGTTCACCCGTAAGTTTCTATACTTTCTTTCTTTCTTTGCTCTATCTTGTTGCTGCTAGTTCTAGTTTTTTTCGTTTCTCTTCGTGATCATTCATGGTGACAGTTTGTTCTTTTTTCTTTTTTTGTGATCAGTGAAGAACGGGTTCGATTTTGGAGCGATCCAGACACCGAGCTCCAACTCTCGCAAAAAACCAACGTCACTGTGTTTCGCATGGGAGTGGACTGGACGAGGATAGTTCCTCTGGAGCCAAAGGACATCTCGTTTGAGCAAGCAGTAAGTTCTCACGACAAAGAAAGATCGAAGAAACTAAAATCCGTGTTTTTCAGGTGAATTGGAGCGCGGTGAAGCGATACAAGCATATAATCGAGCGAGTTCGTGCTCACGGGATGCGAGTCATGCTCACGCTCTTTCACCACTCTCTTCCTCCCTGGGCTGCGAGCTATGGTGGCTGGAAGGAGGAACGAACTGTCAAGTATTTCCTGGATTTCACGAGGTAAAGATCACAAGGGATTCAAAGTTTCAGAGTTCTACTGAGAGTTCTTCATTGTTTTCCTAGATTGGTGGTCGAAGAATACGGAGAGATGGTGGATTTCTGGGTGACAATTAACGAGCCGCACGTCTTTGCGATGCTGACTTACTGCGCTGGAGCGTGGCCGGGTGGTCATCCGGATCTGTTGGAGACCGCAACCGCGGTGATGCCGAGAGGAGTGTTTAATCGAGTCATGGATTTGATGGCCGATGCTCACAACCAAGCTTACGATATCATCCACGAAATAAGGTGCTTGTTTTTCTCATTCTTTGTTCGCCAAGGTTTCTTCTTTTCTTCTTTTGAGCAGTCGAAGACGATCCCAGACGACTCAAGTTGGGATATCTCATCACGTATCTTTTGTTCGTCCGTACGGTCTTTTCGACGTCTCGGCAGCCGTCATTAGCAACTGGAAGACACATTTTCCATACGTTGATGCTGTGTGTAAGAAACTGGATTATCTCGGCCTCAACTATTACGGTCAGGTGATATTCCATCTATTTTCTCAAACAGAAGTAAAAAAAAAACGTTTTTTTTTTCTTCAGGAGTTCATATCAGCACCAGGATTAAAGCTGGTTGAGAACGAAGAGTATAGCGAGTCAGCACGAGCGATATATCCGGATGGGCTCTATCGTGTGCTCTTGGCATTTCACGACCGATACAAGAGCTGTGGCTTCCCTTTTATCATCACTGAGAATGGAGTCTCGGATTGCACAGATTTGATTCGCAGGCCTTACATCATCGAGCATTTGCTGGCCATTCGTGCTGCCATGAACAAGGCAAGCTTCAAAGTTTCATCTTTTCTCTTTGCAAAAACTTTTGTGACATAACTTTAATCTACAGGGTGTACCAATCCGAGGCTATTGCTTCTGGACCGTCTCGGACAATTGGGAGTGGGCTGATGGATATGGTCCGAAGTTTGGATTAGCTGCTGTGGATCGCCGAAACAATCTCGCGAGGTGTCCACGACCCTCGTATTATCTCTTTGCAGAGGTGAAGTTTTCTTTTCAACTTTTGTTCCTGAGTAAGTTTTCTTGGTTTTGTTCCAGCTCGCAAGAACTGGAAAGGTCACGAGAAAGCAAAGAGCTACCGCTTGGAAGGAGTTGCAAGACGCAGCTGCTAAAGGTACCAAAAGACCATTCTATCGGGCGGTGGATGCAAATGGTTTGATGTATGCTGGTAAGCGTTGTTCTTTTGTTCCCTCTCTTCTTCATGGTATAAACTTTGATGATGTTTGATCAGGGGGTCTTGACGTTCCAATCGAGAGACCATTTGTCCAAAGAGATTGGAGGTTTGGCCACTATGAAGTGGATGGTTTGCAAGATCCACTCAACAGGGCGCTGAGAGCCGTGTTTCGAGTTCTCTTGTTTAGAAGAAGTAAGCCAGGAACGAAGGCTAGCTTGGATAGTGACCAAGTCGAACAAGTTGACACCATGAATCAACAAGAAGAAGAAGAAGAAGAAGAAGTTCGTGAGGAAGCTCCACAGGAAGAGGTCCCATTGACTGTATAACAAGAAATTAAGAAATTAAATGGAAGGATACAATTAAAATTTATTGTTGCGAAAAAGAAAATTAAATTTATAGTTTTATCTTTGTAAAATTTAGGGTTTAAGAATGGACCGTCTTTGGTAATTTCTAAGGAGTCAAGGAAAAGCGTTGAACTGGAAGCGATGAGAGGACCATATGTATGGATTTCGGCATATCATCGGACCAGCCTACCAGCCTGCTTGCCACTGTGAGATACCTTTCTCAGGAAGGCCACTGCATGATTTTCCTTGATGCTCGAAGGCTCTGCAAGAATCCGGAAGCAACTGCAAGGATTCCCCGCCATGGCCAAGCCTTTCAACGATTTCTGAATGTGTGGCCTTTCTGATGCGTTCGAAAGTAAGAGTTACGATTGTAGTAGACGGTGGCAACGTAATTTCAACAAAGAGTGGTGCTGCTGCTTTGCTAGCTGGCATTGTGAATGTCTAAAATGTAGTCTTTTGTGCTTTGCTCTCCGGTGAATGGAACGAAGTGATCCGCAATCCCAAAACCCATTTCGTTGAGCTTATAACCGAGGGACTTGAGGGCGCAGAGCTCGTGCAATTCTGCAACGTATACCGGATCGGAAGAGATACAGTGGACTGGCGTGTCACTGGTACAAATACAAAGCTACTGCTTGTGTACGCACAGGGTGGTGACAAGTTCCAAAAGGAAATTGCATCTCTCGAGGCTGAGATCACAAGTAGGAGCTGGTACAATAAACGAGAACTTTGGCAAGGGAACTTAACTAAAGCCAAAACAATATTCAGAGCCAGTGGGAGCGAACAGATATACTGAAACACTTGACGGGAAGCTGGACGGTGGAACGTCTCACTCCACTCTTGGATTCCAGGTGCTTCTACAGGGGCCCAGATGGTACGCTTGACTGCATTACCGATGGCTTATGGAGCTTTGCCTATGTGAAGTTGGCAGAACTCATCGAGGAAGCTGAAGTTGACAAGCAGTGCGAGCTTGTTAGAATCTGGACAGGATCAATTAACGGGGACGACAACGCTAATTCGGATCGGCTGGAATGTGGAAGAAGCTGTGATTCTGGCAGTCAAGCTCTTTGACCTCCAGATTTCATACCGCATCAACGAGGCGTTCAGCGTGAAGAACCCCGAGGTGCAGAGTTTCGGTGGACCGATGTCGGTGGATGTTCTCAACGCGTGTCGAAAGCCTTCGCCATGCATGTACCTGCCGAAGCTATTTAGCCACATTGTTTTGGATTTCTACCTTGAGTTCCAGGACATGGTGGTCGCATGGCATGTTTCAGTGGCAGAGAATGCCGAAGAACGGCACTATCGTACTGTTGAGAATGCGGAAAACCCGTTTGCAGCTGCCGGGACGAAAAAACATATTCTGCTATGGGTGATTCCATGCGAGTACTCTTCTAAGGAGGTGACTTCGGCAGTGCACCAGGGCCTCACGCACTTCTACGTCAAAATGCCTTTCGCTTCTGTGAGTAGCAAACTGGATGTTATTGATTCAACGCTAGCGCGCATCAGGAGAGATAAGCAACGAAAGGTAAGGTTTTAGTGGTGCCTGGATTGCGCAACTAATATGGTTTGGCTGCAGGACACGGATATATGCTGCAAATGCAAGCAAACTCAAACTCCGGGAGACGTGAACTGGGTGTGCTGCGAAGTTTGCCTACTCTGGTATCACCAGAGATGTGTCGGCTACGATCCGACGCCAATTGCGAAGAGTCTTGCCGGAGAGACTGAGGTGCTTGAACCGCCTGAGTTCGCATGCCATGAATGTGGGGAGTTCATAGGGGCCAAGTCCCGTCGTCGGGGAGGTAAAGATCTCTTGAGAGCAAGAGCTGATGCAAGCGAAAACGCAAATTCACTATAAGTCTCCAAGCAAGCTCGGGAGTTTGTATGTGGCAAAAATGCAAAGCAGGAAAACACGGATGGATTGGATCAAACCATGTAACGTGGATATGTCAAAAAAAAAGATGTCCCATATCTTGATCGTCAGTTGGCAGGAAATCGACAGTAGTACATGGTGATTAATATCTGCAAAGCTAGATTTTATAACATTGGCTTGGCGGTGTTTGATTGGAGTTCGACGGTAGTACATGGTGATTAATACCTGCAAAGCTAAGCTTTATAACATTGGCTTGGCAGTGTTTGATTGGAGAAATCTTAGTGATGTGCTGGAAGTGGACACTTGTCATCCACGCAGCCATGTCGTACTAACCCATTGGAACTGTTGTTGTACGGAATGCATCGTTGGCTCGTTGTTTGAAGAACCAGAGCTGGGCATTTTTCCACGCATTGGAGAGGGAGGGGGAGCGCGCTAGGGTTTGATCTTCCAGCTATTGCTCGCGATCGATCGGGGGTGGCGGCAGCAGCAGCCAGACGCCTTGCATTGTTGCGGTTTCGCTGTATAGGTTAGTGATTCGCAGCTTCGCCGATGCTTCTCTAATGGTTGTTTGTTTCAGCGATTGTTTTGCTCACGGCTTCTCATTGCATTCGTGTGTGAGCTGGAGCGAGTGAGCGCTGCCCTCTTTTCTTCTTCTTCAAAGTATACCGCTTTCATTCTTTCTAGTGTAGTTTGTGTTTCCTTTCTTAGACTGGATTGCCTCTGATTAGATATGAGTCTGGGGAGTGCTAAGCGATCGATTACTCGGGTGACCAGTATGCGCGATCGAGTCCAGGATTCATTGCAAGAGCATCGGAATCCGCTGCTATCAGTGCTATCGAAGTAAGAGAACTCTTTCTTTTCTTTCTCTAGGCCAGATGACGAACAAAACTTTCTTCGTATTTCCTCGTGTTTTTTCCAGGTTTGTAGCGAATGGAAGTGGGCTTTTGCAACCTCACGAACTGAAAGATGGGCTTGCAAATGCTGTCAAGGACTCGCAGCTCCTTCTCCAGCTGCAAGATGGTATCTTTGGCCGCGTTTTGCATTACACTCAGGTCCAACCAATCTCTTCTCCCTTGAGCTTTGCTAAGATAAGTTCTTCGCGTGCAGGAAGCCATGGTTTTGCCTCCTTGGGTCACTCTGGCTGTGCGACCCAGGCCTGGTGTTTGGGAGTATGTTCGAATAAACGTCGACGAGCTGACTGTGGAGCAGCTCTCAGTTTCTGAATACCTTGCGTTTAAAGAGTGTCTGACAAATGGAGTGTAAGTATTTTTTTTCTTCTCTCGTTCTTTTTTTACTTGTATTTTTCTCAACTTCCACCAGGTGCAATGACAAGTTTGTCCTTGAACTAGACTTTGAACCTTTCAACGCTCATTTCCCAAAGCTAACACGTCCCAAGTCGATTGGCAATGGTGTACAGTTTCTTAATCGGCATCTCTCGTCTCGTTTGTTTCGTGACCAGGAGAGCATGCAACCTCTGTTTAACTTCTTACAAGTGCACAAGTATCGTGGGGAGGTAAGTTTTTTTTGTTTTATATTTGTTTGTTTTTTTCCGCTGACACAGAATTCTTGTTTTAATCAGACTCTCATGCTAAACGATAGGATCGAAACTCTGGACAGGCTTCGACCAGCACTTGTCAAGGCTGAAGAGCAGCTGACACGGCTCCCTGATGACGCACCATATGCTGAATTTGCTTTGAGGTATTAGAACTTACACTAACTTTGAGGAGGCTTTTGGTCACTTAAACTCTCTTCTCTCAGGCTGCAGGAACTGGGACTAGAGAAAGGATGGGGAGGCAATGCCGGAGAGGTTCTTGAGATGATTCATCTCCTGCTAGAGACGCTTCAGGCCCCTGATCCTAACACGCTCGAAAAGTTTCTCGGGAAAGTGCCTATGGTTTTCAGCGTGGTGATTCTGTCACCGCATGGCTACTTTGGCCAAGCAAATGTCTTGGGAATGCCGGATACAGGTGGACAGGCAAGTTTACGTGAAATGCAAGCTGTTTGGTCATCTCTTTAGCATTTACCGTCTTTCTGCAGATTGTTTATATTCTGGATCAAGTTCGTGCTTTGGAGCAAGAAATGCTTAGTAGAATTAAGCACCAGGGTCTTGAGATCAAGCCTCAAATCATAGTGGTACGTGATCTACACTCTATTCTCATGATCTCTGACCTTGTTTGGTCAGGTGACTCGTTTGATTCCTGAAGCAAAAGGAACCACTTGCAATCAGAAGGTGGAGAAAATCAGTGGCACTGAATACTCTCGTATTTTGAGGATTCCTTTCAGGACGAAAGAAGGAATACTCAAACAATGGGTATCACGTTTTGATGTCTGGCCTTATTTAGAAACATTTGCTGAGGTAACTCCACCGAAGTTTGTCTGTATGCTCACTGGCGTACTGTTTGTCCAGGATGTTGCACATGAGATATGCGCCGAACTTTCGGGTCCTCCGGATTTGATTATAGGCAACTACAGCGATGGAAATCTCGTGGCTTCGTTGCTTGCGTACAAGCTTGGCATCACTCAGGTGACTTTACCTCTCGTCATCTAGTTTTCCTTCGTTCCTACATTTTAAATCTTCTGCTCTTTTCTCAGTGTAACATTGCGCACGCATTAGAGAAAACAAAGTATCCCGACTCGGACATCTACTGGCGGAAGTTTGATGACAAATATCATTTCTCCTGTCAGTTCACAGCCGATCTCATTGCTATGAACCATGCTGATTTCATCATTACGAGCACTTATCAGGAAATTGCTGGAAGGTGCAGCTTTTTTTTTCCTCCCTCTCTCCTGCGTTCTAAAAGCTTATGCATGCAGTGATGACAGCGTGGGGCAGTACGAGAGTCATGCCGCGTTTACGCTACCAGGCCTGTATCGTGTGGTCGACGGAATTGATGTGTTCGACCCGAAATTTAACATTGTTTCGCCTGGAGCTGACATGACCATCTACTTTCCATTCACTGAAAAAGAACGGCGACTGACGTCGTTGCATGGGCAACTTGAGCAACTTGTTTATGGTACCGAACAGAACGACGTCCATGTGTAAGTGCTTGTTTTCGTTTTTTAGTCTTCGATCAACTTAACGATTGATCTGCAGGGGAACTATAAGCGATCGATCAAAGCCTCTCATTTTCTCCATGGCGCGCCTGGACCGAGTGAAAAACATCTCCGGCCTGGTGGAATGGTTTGCGAAGAACCCGCGACTGAGGAAACTCGTGAGCCTGGTGGTTGTTGCCGGAGACATCGATCCGGCGAAGTCGCGAGACCGGGAGGAAATCGACGAGATTCACAAGATGCACGGGCTCATGGAGGAGTACAACTTAAAGGGCGACTTCAGATGGATTTGCGCGCAGAAGAACCGAGTCCGCAACGGAGAGCTGTACCGTTTTATAGCGGATAGTCGCGGTGCTTTCGTCCAGGTATGAGAACAGTGCGTTGCTTCGCTTTCTTTCCTGATCGACTCATATCACCTTTGACTTGCGCAGCCTGCGATTTACGAAGCTTTTGGACTGACAGTAGTGGAGGCAATGACTTGCGGTCTACCATGTTTCGCAACCTGCAAAGGAGGCCCCGCGGAAATCATTGTGAATGGCGTGTCCGGCTTTCACATTGACCCGCACCATGGTGAAGCAGCCAGCAACATCATGGCCGATTTCTTCGAAAAATGTCTCGCAGACAAGGACTACTGGAACAACATCTCGGCGGCTGGCCTGGAGCGCATTTATGAACGGTACGCTGCGATTTACACATTCTCGCTTCATGTTTCTCGCTGTTCTCTCTCTGCAAGAAGCTAAGCTATGCTTCGTTTGGCTTTGCTTTTCGCAGGTATACCTGGAAGATCTACGCGGAGAGGCTCATGACACTGGCGGGAGTGTACGGCTTCTGGAAGTATGTGTCGAAACTGGAGAGACGAGAGACTCGACGCTACCTGGAGATGTTCTACATCCTGAAGTTCCGTGAACTGGTACGCGTTTTTGACACTTCCCGTGTGATTGATTGATGTGAGAAAAGAGGCAAAAACTTACGTACGATGGCAACTTGCAGGCCAAGAGAGTACCACTTTCCAGCGACAAGGAAGATGTTGACGAGAAGATTTCGAAGAAAACTCATGTCAAAGAAGGTCAGGCTTAAAAAGAAGAGAATGCTTTTCTTCATCGAGTGGAGTAGCCAGCAAATCTTCGCAAGCTTGCAAGCAAGGAAGTAAAAAAAGCGAGAAGTAGAAGCGTACTACCACTGCTCGACTCTGGAAAGAGAGCCCAAGCAAATCAAAGGAGAGAGCCTCTTGTTGGACGACTCTCTTAAAGCTTTGTGATCGATTCGATCTGCTTCTCTTTCATACTTCACTTAAAATCGCTCCACTCGCGAAAAAAGAGTGTGATGAATAATATAAAATCTTCTTCGTCTTTCCTCCCCCACCTGTCTGTCCATGATGGAGAAAGCTCTGGCCCTTTTTAAACGAGACGAATATTCGTCTTGCAGGACACGTGTCGTTTTTGAGTGCCCTAAATCCTCGCCACTACAGACGAGCCAAGTGTCATTTCTAACAACCATTGGATAAGCTTGTATATTCCGACAAATGACAGCACATCGAGACCGTCGCCTCCAAATTGAATCCAACGGTGGCAGTGTAACTGATGTCATCTTCCAGGAGTTTCGCTAATTACGACGGTAAAAGACGAGCACGCGGGCGAGGGGTCGCAGTGAAAAATGGTTTATTACCGCCTGGTGGATTCGCCCCTCCCCTGTACAGTATACGGAAGCAGGTGGGTGTAAATGTAAAGTGGTAAGAAAGAAAATCTTTGTTACCCGGCGTTACTCGAGAGACTTACGGGACTTCTTCCCTTCCCCTTTTCTTACCTTTGGTCTTTTGATCTTCGATAGAGCTATAGGCGGAGCTCTTGGCTATGGCGGTCGAGCTCCCGACGCGAGATCTTCCGCGATAATCCGCGATATTTCGTGCAATCTCTTGCTTCTCCTCCTCAATCTCGATCCAATGCTCTGTTCTTTGATCGATCGGGGGCCGAGTCCGTGAAATTTCGGGTCGATCGGGCGATAGCAGCTGGGATCGCGTCAGGGTCGAGGTGCATGTGAGGATTTTCTAGCGCTGCCAAAGGATATAGAGTTAGGAAAGAGGAGATCGTCGCTTAGGGTTTTGGCGGCCTGATTGGAGAATGATGTCCCGGGAGATGGAACGATGGCGCCTCTTCTTTGAGAACTCCGGGGAAGATCTCTGGAGTGTCATCGACTGGGCGCTCACCATTGCGGCCGTGAATTACCCCAAGGAGTTGCGAATGAGGAGGGATGGCTTTGCCGAAAAGCTGTTTGCGCCGTCAAACTACCCACTGGTGGCGACCAATTGTGGCGGTGGAGCTCCATTGCTACTGGCTGGAGGATCGGACAGGAAGGACAGCCTCGATCGTGATCACGATGACGATCAGGGCGAGGAAGAGGAGAATGCCGATGCCCGGAACCTCGCTCCAGCAGATGACGACGAAGAAGAGGCCGTGAGGCGTGAAGTTCTAAGCATTGGGCAGACGCTCGAGAGGGATCAAAACGAGGTATGCTTTTTCCTTGGAATTTATGTCCACTTGTTCCACTTGTATGATGTGATTCTTCCATTCCAGCCAGCGGAGAAGCTTTTGAAGCCAATTGAGAGATTAGAACAGCTCCAGATCTCTGTCCAAGCCTTAAAGGTGGGTGCGAATTCATCGGTCTTTCTAGAAATCCTTAAATCGGGTTTTTTTCTTTTTTTGTGGTTCATAGGTGACTGGAATTGGGATGATTGTCAATAAATTGCGTAAGCACCACAAGTCGAGCCGCGTCAAGGCCGGTTGCAAGAAACTTGTAAAGTAAGCCCGTGACCTCCACAGGGAGAAGAGCTTCATTGTTTCTTAGCTTCCTTCCTTTTTTTACACTTTTGTGGTAGGCTGTGGAAGGACGTCGTTGATGAATGGGCCAAGACTGCGGACGCGGCCGATGCAGACGAACTTGCTCTTCCCAACGAGGCAGTCAATGAAGTGGAAGTGATTGAAGAACGGCTACCACACAGAGTGGACCTGTTAAGCAGTTCCGTGTCGAGCGTTACTCAGCCACCCCCTTTACAAATGCTTGACAACGGAGGAGAGGATAGTATGTGTAAGTCTCCCAATCTCTCACGTTTTTTTCTTTCTTTCTCAAGCTAACTTTGAAGCTGCGAGTGGCTGCAGTTGGATGTTCGCCCTCTGATGACCGGGAGGACCACCACAAGTCTCATCGGATTAGTTATCCACCGTCGGAGCATAGTAAGATGCTAAATGGACCGTCATTCCAACCCAGTGGCAAATGGATGGATGATGATAGAACAAGGACGGGAAGAGCCCCGGTTGCAGCCCCCAGTTCTGCAAGTGCAAGGAAACCACCGACAACAAAGCCGAGTGTAAGTCTCAAGAGGTTTCTTCAATTATTTCGCAGTCGGGAAAAGCTCACTCTTCAATTTCTGCAGAGACCATCTTTTCAAGAGAGCGGCTCCCTGACAGAGAAGCAAAAGCTAGAAACTACAAAGAGATTAATTCATGACCAGTATCAACAAGCTGCAAATGGTAGGATTTATTTCGGACGAGAGGTAGTGGAAAGCTGACAGCGATTATGTCTGCAGTAAAGAGGCAAAGAACTGTGCAAGTGATGGACATGCAAGATGTTCCTCAAGATCGGCCTGGTAACCATCTCAAAGCAGGTTCTGGAAACACCAGAAGGCCAGTCCAGCGCTAAGTAGCCCAGCAGAAGAGTGTGAAGGTTGAGTTCACTATAGGAAACGGCGGAGAAGAGCCTTGTACAGACGAAAAGAAAAGCAAAAAAGAGGGAAGGATCGTCTCACTCGTTCGTCACTATACTGCACGACAAGGCCAAGCAAAGTGAAGGAGAGATTTATCCGGCGGTGCTAGGAGTGATATAACAGGTCGAGGACAGACACGCCACAGGGGGAGGAAACGAGGGTCTATAAAATTTATGGAGGAAATATTATCTCACTTGGGAAAGAAGAGAACAGACAGGACACAGGGGCAATACATAATTTTGTAGGCTAGCTTACATACAGGGATCCAGGGAAAAGGTTTCTTTAAAGGTACAGGCAGGAAAGAGAGAGCTTTAGTTAAGCTATGGTGAAAAGAAGAAAGAGCGAACAAATAATTTACAGTGACTCTTTTGGCTGGTTCTGAACAAGTAAGTTGATCCAGCACCAAATTTTGAAAGACAAGAAGAGTAAGTTGAGGCAGCGAAACACAATCACCGTAAGTAGTCATGCTTGGTGCTTTCCTAATCTCGTCCAGGAAAAAAGCTGTCAAGTTTTCAAAGCCAGGTGGTGGCCTGCGAAGAATCCGCTCACGCCGCGGCCGACTGCTTGATAAACTCGATGCATTCCGCGACAGCATCTTGCGAGTAAGACGAGGAGGAGGAGGAGTCGAGGCGAGCAAACGACAAGGCGGCTCCATCTCTCTCGTGCTCCTGCCGGAGGTTTGTACCGCTGTTGCTGTTTCTTGCCGCGCTCTTCTTTCTGATCGTGCTGCTTCTTTTGGAGACAGATGTGGCCGAGTTTGGCGCCGCCACCATGAGCTTGACTTTGCTCCACGCCCCCTTGAGCTTGTCGACAATGCCGGTGTGGATGACGCTTGCCTTGAACTTGGGGAGCGTCACCTTGCACTTGTCCTTCTTGATCCAGCTCGCCTTGGTGAAGCTGGACTTTCTTTCCTCGCGCTGGCTGAGGCTAAGGTGGTGGCCTGTTCTTCGCCGCGGCGCGAGGCAGATCTGCAGGAAATCCGGGCTGCGGAGATCGATGATCCGGGATGATGGTCTGGTGCTGCTAGACATTCTAGTCAAGATCGAGATCAAGATCAAGAGTTTTCTTTCTTTTTTTTTTTATGGTTCTTTAATCTCTTCTCCTGGTTTGCTTTCTTTTTTGGTGATAGGAGACCCCACAAGAAGAAGAAGGAAAGAAGAAAAACGAAGCAAGCAAGCGTGCTGTACTTGCTTCCACTGGAAAAGACGTGCTTTTGCTTGCTTGCCTGCCTGCTTGCTCGTGCTCGCCAAGAACCAGCACACGCGCCCTTCTTCTTCTTCAAACCGAATGACGGGCTGCCACGGCCGTCACCCTGAAGGGCAGGAAAGATCCCCCGAATCTTTAAACCTGGATATTCTTTGGATATTTCATCTGTGACGGTTACAATAGAAGAAAAAATGGATTTTGTTCTTAAAAGTCTGTCCAGCGGGTGAAAATTCTTTCTGGGAGGACAAAAACGAATGCGCTGCTGCTTGCTTGCTTGGCTACATTCGTCGCGACTTCATGGGAGGTTGATAATTCGGGTTTTGCATCGCGTCTCTCCTCCTTCCCTGGAGAAATAAAACCAGCAAGAAAGTTTATAACATACTGTTCTATCGAGGTCATGCTATATCCTGTATTAAGAACGTAAGAAAGAACGAAGTTTTTGTACCTGGTGTTGCTGGTGTTGATGGTGTTGATGCTGCTGCTGCTGCTGCTGCTGCTGCTGCTGTTGGTGATGAGCAACCTGCTGGAGCTGCTGGCCTCTCTGGACGAACATATTCGCGGCGAGGCCGGCCATGGCTGGCTGAGCGCCCACGTTGAAAGCTCCCATGCTCGCAGTTTGTAGCCTCTGCATTCCGACCAAGGGCATCTGCTGGTGGTGCATGGGACGAACCGCATTTGCAGTCGCACTAGCTGCAGCAGCTGATGCTGCTGACGCGGGGAGCGAGTTGGAGGTCGACATCTGAGAGCCACGAAATGTGGAAACCATCAGAAAGCTGCTGCCACCACCACACTGCAGAGGGGAAAAAAAGGCTTGTTTTCTTTTCCTGTTTCGTACCATCTGGGTGTTTTGAATGGAGCCACTGCCTTCGAAATCCGTGGAGCTATCCACGGGACGCGCAGGGTACTGCACAACTTTCTCGCCGGGTTGGCCATAGACAAGTGCACTACCTTCCAAAATTGCGCATGGTTAGATGACCCCTCACGAAAGATAAAGCAAACAAATGGTTCTGATGAGAAAACGACGCACTTACTTTCGACCAGGGAGGGGATCGCTTCGGAAATATCTGTACAGAAAAAAAAAAAGGAAAACACAAGCAGAGGTCAGGGTGCGTACATCCACGACGAACTACAGATCGTACTCGTGATCCAGCGCTTGTGCTGCAGTTATACGCTTTACTGGGTCATACCTGCACGTCTCGAGAAGGTTAGACAGCAAGTAAGCTTGTATACAGAGAGTTTACTCGAGCATTCGTGATAGCAAGTCGAATGCTAGGCCCTTCGGTTGGAGATTGACGACGGTGTGCAAACCAGGATTATCGCTGTAGGGACAGACCAGAAAAGGTGGCATAACGCGCAGGTGAAAGTAACGACACTTACTACTTTCGA